AAGGAGCCACCTGATTTCAAGTGTAAGAATTCAATTTAGCAACACAGAAGATGGTTAAAATAAATATTGCAGATATTTTCTCTATGTGTGTATGTGTTTGGATTGGGGCAGATTTATTGCTATGGACTTTTAGATATAAAATGAAGAAGAAACAAACTATATTTAAAGTGTTTCATGAAGCTACCTCTTTTTCATTGATGTGAAAACATAAGATTGGGGTTGTTCTTGTACAAATAAAGATTATCAGGTTTATTTTTACAGCAGCCATGGCCCCTCTCTCTGAGTGGCAGACACAAATGATGCCAGGATGTATGACTAACAACTAAAAATAAAGCAGATATTTTGGTACAGGCTACGTAACATCCTATTAATACAAAACCATTCTGTTTAGTCTACATTTGCTTTGGACACTGCCCATTCACAGCTTTCCCTGAGCAGTTTCCCTGGATGTATACATTCCTTCAGTAGTGCTGTGAACTACCATCACTCGTGCACTTCTGCGGGTTTTAGAAAGAAAAATAACCCTGCTTCATCTTCATCAGAGGAAAGAACTTTTCATCAAGAGTTCAGGAATTCATCCCCCTCCGTGACCCCTCTAATTCTACCAAGTTAAAAAAGAAAATCCATAAAAACATCTCCCAACTAATCCCTTTCTTTAATACGTTGTTCTGGGTTTTTATCCCTGTAATAAATGCCTCACTACATCTTCACTGTGATTAGTCTCATGGGACGTCCATGTGATGAGCATCTCCCCAGGGTCAGAATCCTACTGCAAATGCCAATACACGTTTGAACCCCCCAAAGCAATCCAAGCAGCCGGTACTTCAGCATCAGTGTTTTATACAGAACACTGCAGCTGCCAAGCTGGCAGAGGAGAGCTTTTCTTTTTCAAATGTGAGGCTAAGGTGCTCCCAAAGTGAGGACAAACTGAATTCCAAGGGGTTCCTCCAAGCTCTGCGCACAGTGAGCTGCTAAACCCCAAACGTGTACCCACAGAAAACCAAGACCTCAGTGCTGATTGGCGCATGGCCTTGCTAAGCAGGTCTCTAAAAGGCAGAAGATACATTGGGTAGCAAGTGGAGTTTCTGCTCAGAAAGAGAACAAAAGCAGGACCTCCCTGTAGCCAGTGGTTCTGGCACTCACACAGCATGCAAGTGCTGAGGGTTGTAAGAGCTCCAGTACCCGTGCTTTGGGGTGATGGAGAGGGAGCCTGTCAATCTCTCACCTTGGAGTAATGTTTTTAATCTCTACAAATAATTAGATTTTAACTGGAACAGGGATGTGAATCCAGATTTACTTGAACCTAGGTTTTTGTCACATATGGCCTCCTCAACACTGTTACACAACCGAGACCTTTTTAAAGCAGCGCTGTCTTTTTACCTGGACTCTCTGTTCCCTGCACGACCTTGTCGTGTTCTTTCTGACATATTTTTTGTGACAACTGAGGCACCACTGACTGGTAACACGAAATAGGATTTGATCTTGTTCTGAAAGTTGTGCCTTTGCTCAGCAATGAGAGTCTGGCCAATGTTCCAGGCTCGCCCTGCGAACAGCCTTAAATGACACTTCACAAGGTTTCATCCCAAGAAGTAACACTGACAACCCCTGTGTACACTCCTTCTTTCTCCAAACATTCTCTAAAAGCAGACTGACATGTACAGAAATCTCACTAGACTTTACTGCATCAAACTTCTATAAAATGCTCTAAAACAAGAGTGCCTACAAATGTCAGACCTCTGCCAGATTTTAATTCAATGTGCAAATCACACCCCTGAAGCTGAAAACATAATCCCTGCAGGGATGATGTGATGTTGGAGAGGCATGTCCCCCTTTTTCTAACAGTAATAATTAACTTATAGGCAGTAAACACACATTTTCCCCTTAACTACTCAAAACTCAAAGACCACATACAAGCTCATTTTCTATTTCATTTACATTCATTGGTTAGTGACCCCCACAGAAATCACTGGTCTCAATTTAGATCATACTATTACAGGAAGGTTTGAGAAGTGGTTGAGAAGTGGATTAATTTCTTCTTGCATTATTTTCCAGTTACTGTCATAGTTGGAGCAAGTCCAGAGAAGGCCACGAGGATGCTCAGGGGCTGGAGCAGCTCCTGTATGGAGACAGGCTGAGAACATTGGGGCTGTTCAGCCTGGAGAAGAGAAGCTGCGTGGAGACCTCAGAGCAGCTTCCAGTGTCTCAAGGGGGCTACAAGGATGCTGGAGAGGGACCTTCATCAGGGATTGTAGTGATAGGACAAGGGGTGATGGGTTCAAACTGAAACAGGGGAAGTTCAGGTTAGATCTAAGGAAGAAGTTCTTTACTATGAGGGTGCTGAGGCACTGGAACAGGTTGCCCAAAGAAGTGGTGAATGCTCCATCCCTGGCAGTGTTCAAGGCCAGGTTGGACAGAGCCTTGGGTGACATGGCCTAGTGTGAGGTGTCCCTGCCCATGGCAGGGGATTGGAATTAGATGATCTTAGGGTCCTTTCCAACCCAAACCATTCTATGATTCTATTCTACGATTGAAATTTAAATCCCTCATTTTGGGGATATTTTTGCATGTAATAGTCTCAAATTCTAATATAAACGAGCTGCCAGATAACAAATGCCTCTACAAAACCTGGTGCATTGTTTCCTCTTTTGCCAAGGAACCCATTTTCTGCCTTGTCTTTACTCCAGAACTGCCTGGAGTCTCCATTGGTTTATTCTGGTGACAAGAGCTTAGGCTGATCTTACATCCTCTTCTGAAACATCTTTAAATCCAACCAGTCAACTGAACACAACCGTGTACAACGTCCCACAAAACCAGATGATGGTGCTCAACCACACTCCTCCTTTATCCGGTGGCACCTCCTAGATCTTGGTAAACACACACAGTGTAGGAAGTGATTTAGTGCCAATCACAACCCCCAAGATTTCATCCTTTGTAGGCACTGGCGGTTCCTCCTGGGTTGTTGAATTTGCTGAGATCACAAATGAGCAGAGGTCTGGGTGGCCTTTTAAAAACCCTTTTTTCCCCACTACATACAGGGTTTTTTCCATTTTCTTGTAATTGACCAACAAGCATCTTTCTTAAGCGTTTTGTTCCTCCACCCTTCCATTAGTGGAACTCCATGTGGAAGAGCAGAGGCCTCCACATTTTAACCCAAGAGCCAGTAACCTTTTGTAATGGCCTGAAAAAATCACATTTGCTTTTCATCTGCTTTACATTTTTGCATGACAGTTACTCATAAAGTAGCTTTACCTCTCTCCTGACTATACCCATTCTTTTGATGCCCGAAGGCTTTTAGGAAGTGATCTTATGTGTGACTCCTTTTGCATTTATTCTCATATAAGGGAATGGGTTCAAACTGAAACAGGGGAAGTTCAAGTTAGATAGAAGGAAGGAGTTCTTTACTGTGAGGGTGCTGAGGCACTGAACAGGTTGCCCAAAGAAGTGCTAAATGCTCCATCCCTGGCAGTGTTGAAGGCCAGCTTGAACAGAGCCTTGGGTGCCATGGTGCCCATGGCAGGGGTTTGGAACTAGATGATCTTAAGCTCCTTTCCAACCCAAACCATTCTATGATTCCATGATATACTGGATGGTTGCAAAGCTGGTTCCATGCAAATCTCTGTCCATTTTGTTCAAATCTGAAGATGAATTCTGGGTTTTATGACTTGAATTTTACTTGGTATTCAGCATTCCCAAGAAATTGTATAAGCTCAGAGCTTTGTTTGTCTACTTTTACTCTAGCTTAGATAACTTCCACTAATTGGGAACTTTTATAACGTTTTCTGAAGTGTTCATAAGAACTCTTCCAAAAGTTCCTGTGTTGTATTTTCTTCAGATCATCATCATTGCTCCATAGTCATCAGGGCATAGTCACCCAGAATTGCAAAATTGTCTTTTCAGCCCTACAGACAACAAACACCAGCTCTCTTAAGTTTAACCTTCTTCCTCCATCCTTGCATTTAAAATGAAGCTTGTCAACGTTTTAAGTGCAGCATTCTTCAGATTTCTGCCCTATGCTTTCTGAAAGCTTGAGTTAACAACAATGATTAAACCCACAGGCACTTCAGAATCAGCCACATCCAAACATAAAAATACAAAATACCTTCTAATGGCTCCCCATGTTCTCCAACTACTGTTTGCAGGCTCAAGGGAGGAGATACTTGAAGTTTTACTTAGTAAGATAAGTAGTTTGTGTTGCAAGGAAATTTGCAGCTGCTTAACACTTTTATTTAGGACACTGACTTTTTCCCTTTTATTTGATTTCCATAACTCATATTTGTTTTGTATGAACTGAGCAGAAAGTCTTTTTATACCATGACCAGTTTGACCTGGATGTGCAAACCCACAGCTGCAGTAATGCACCTTTGGAAGGTGAATCCCATAAACCACATTGCCCACTTTCTCAGCCATACCCAGATGTACTTAATGTCTTCAAAACAGTAACACAAAGTCTGGCCTTAATTTTAGCATATTCTTAGTTGGAAGTGCTAACTGAGTTCAGACATTACACATGCACTGCTACACTTCCTCTCCAAGATACTTACTATAGGTCCTACCTCCCTACTTACGCTAAGTCTCACAAGGGGACTTCTTCTACTTAACCAATAAATTGTTCCTTGAGGAAAGGGCTTGAAAAGACTTGACCTTATCCCTGTTTTCTTCCCGAGCTGCTCAGATAGCTGACATGTTTACAACCTTTTAAAGCCCTGGAGTTGTCTTTCTATAATGACTACAGAAGCAAACTACGTGCTCTGTGTAAAAGACAATGCTGCTATTACTGCATGTATTGCTGAATTTCAGTAGTACTTGGAAGTCATTTAGATTTGAAATAGTAGCTAAATATGCAGTGGTTACAAAATAGATCTAGGAGCAAAATACCCTGTAAAGAAACAAATGCGTAACAGCATCTTTACTAAACAGATTTCCCCCCTAAAATAGAATTTTAAGAGAAAATTGGCATCTAGCAGAAGAAAATGGTTATTCAAAATTAATTATGTACTTACCTTTGACTCTGTCTCCTTTGTGCAGATGAATTTCCCCTTCCCCTTGAGGTTGATATGGCTTAACGACAATAAAAAGTCTTCCAGGTACAGCGCTGTAAAGCTTGCGTTTTGGACCCTGATAATCCAAGGCAGACAGAGTATCCTTGCTGGCACTAGGATTGTAAACGGCACTGGAAATGGAAATGAAAATACATTAACTGGGTATTTAAAACAGGCAAAGTCAATAAATTACCATCACATTAGCAGGATTAAATTAAGCAGTGAATAACATAATTGTCTTCCAGTAAGACATCTAACCCTGCAGGAAAAATACACATTTTTCATCCTAAACACATCCTTTTAATGGTTGAAATCTTTCAGTAGGAAACAGGATCAATATTTATCTGACCATGATGGCCCAGAAAAGAAAACACATAACCCTGAAGTTTTTAGTTTCTCTGCAAATTAAATTTGCACATTCACAGACCCTGATGAAGTTTAAAATTGCTATGTAAAGCATACATTAGAAGCATCAAGATTTGTCAGAAAGACTTTAAAACACCAGTATTTACAATTACTCTTGGGAATGGCCATCTCTGTAATACTGTAGCATTAACTGAACAATCAAGGCAATTGAATTATTATCTAAAGGGACTGAATAATCAAGTTACTTCATCAGTCCAAGGCCTAGAGCTCAATTTTAGGTCTGCACAAAGCCTTATGCCTAACATATCCTCCAAAAGATCATTTCCTACTGATGGCAATCAATAGCTCTCCCAATGGCTTGAGCACAGTATGCCCAGGAAAGCCCTAGGTCATCAACCAACACACAATCTGGGTATGGTGTGTAAAGAAGAAATTATTGAAAGCCAGTGAGCAATGCGTAAGATTATTAATAAACCTCCAAACAATGAATGAACCACCAAAAATATACAAAAAGAGAAAGGCAAATATTAAAGAGGGTGGCAAACCTATAGGAGATATCACTTGGGGTCTTAGAGTATAGAAACAGAAAATATTCATGAGAAAGAAGAATATTCATGAAGATCTACAGGAAAAAAATAGGAAGAAGAATCCTATCTAGCATGACGATCTAGCACTGTAACACTCCACTTTCTTGTAAGGGGGAAGAAAAGATCTCAAACTTACCGCTTAGAGCAATAAGCAAAATGAAATATAAGGGCTAGAGTTTACTGCTTCTTTGCCCTTATTTTTAACCAAGCTCCTACCAGAACAAGAGTCAAGAGAACTCTCAATATAGTTGTCTGGTAAAAAAAACCCTAACATAGTGGATATTTCATATGAGGAACACTTCCATTTTCCTGCAGTAAATTCTTTACCATTGGGAATAGCGTCCTCTTTTCACCTTGTTGCTCTGTTCTACTACCGTGAACAGGTTTGGGTTTCAGTTCTTTTGCTCCATTCCCTTCTTGTAAGTGAAAAAACAGTCATCACCACAAAAGAATCCAGATCTATAAACTGTTGCTACACATCTGATTTCCACTTGTAGCAAGTTATACTTTCTGCCCAGCCTGGCAGCAGCTATTCACACTATTATGTCCCAGCATCTTTAACTCCTGTCCTAGAAGATGCATTCATTTTCTCTTTTTGTGAAAGGAGAGGGGGAAATGGCACATATAACCTTCACACCCGAGGCATAATTTCTCATGAGACAGTTTGCTAATGGAAATCAGGGCTGCAACATGGCATAGATGACTTCTTAGAAGATCTTTCTCTTCCCCCCTGTCCCCAGCTTGGGCTCCCAGCCCAACAAGTCCCATGCCATGAAGCAGCAGGAGGAGGATGTGGAGTTTTCAGACGTGTGGATGTTTCCCTCTCACCCAGAAGAAGGTGGCTGTCCTTGATGGCTCAGCCCTGACTGAAGCTGGGCTGGCACCTCCTTTCACTCATCACAGTGACAAATCCCACAGGAAGGATGCCAGCTTCCCACACCACCAGTTTGGTACAAGAAGATCAGTAATCTGAGCCACAGAGGCTGTAAACCTCACATGAACCCCTTGCAGCATCACTTTCAAGCCCCCTTCCGCAATGTCAACTCTACAAACCTCATTAACCCTTCATCATACTCTAACCTTATGGCTGCTTCTGCTCCAGAACCCAACTTATTCCTATGTCAAAAAGGGCTTTTTCATCTCTAAGGGGAGCAACAGCTTCGTGGTGAATATATTATTTGCAAATAATAAGCAGACACAGCAACAATTCCCACATTTAGCTGACAGTAAGTAGGTGGTCACACAGTTAAACAAAATCTGTGAGGGAAGTGTCATGCAAGGTGCCATTCCTGACTGCAGAGCAGGCCTGTGGCAAGAAAAAGCATTGCTTGCAGGAAAAATTGTATAGAAAATCCTTTTAGTTGTCTTTAGAGAGCCTCCAGCTCTCTTCTCACTACTTGCATGTACTCTGGACAGCTCTGAAACAAGTCTTGATGGTGCATATGAAGCTCTGCAGCTGGGTGGCACTTTAAGTAGTTGTCATACTGATGCACTAAGTGAAAGACCAGAATGTTATTTCTACCAAATTTCAGGCATTAAATTGGTTTCCGCTATCATTTGTGCTACTTTTCAACATGATGTGCTTTCAGAAAGGGAAGAGGAAAGTGGCTGAATAAAGCCAAAGCAAATAAATGTTTGCTTATTCCAAATAAAGTTTTAATTGTTCTTGCCATCTCAAAGGGCTGTTTATACTTCAAGGATTTGCAAATGTGTTATCCCAGGAATATTGATGAAAAAGCCCTTTTTATCCCTTCCAGCTAAAAGAATCACAGACTATAAGGTAAACCCTCCCACTGGTGGCATCTGCAGCATCCAGGGGAGTATGAGGGCACTCACTCTCTGAGAACCATCGGGGGACCACATCCTCATCCAAGCGAAGCCTCGTTACAAACTGCTTTTAAGCTGATACAGGGCTCTGTGAGGAAGTGTCACCCAGATGATAACCAAACGAGTGTTTGCCCCTACTGTAACATACAAAAAGGTAATGTGAGTTTCATATAATCACAGAAGGTTTGGGTTGGAAGGGACCTTAAAGCTCATCCAGCTCCAACCCCCTGCCACGGGCAGGGACACCTTCCACTAGAGCAGGTTGCTCCAAGCCCCTGTGTCCAACCTGCCCTTGAACACTGCCAGGGATGGGGCAGCCACAGCTTCTCTGGGCACCCTGTGCCAGCGCCTCAGCACCCTCACAGGGAAGAGCTTCTGCCTCAGAGCTCATCTCAGTCTCCCCTGTGTCAGGTTAAAGCCATTCCCCCTTGTCCTGTCCCTACAGGCCCTTGTCCAAAGCCCCTCTCCAGATTTCTTACAGGACCCTGAAGGCATTGAATTTTGCTCTACTGCACGACACCACTGGGCATAAGTAATTTGGTTCCTGTTTCTTCCAGTGACTCTTACATTTCAGACAACTATTTTTTCACAAAGCACCATGTTTCCACTCTCCAGCAGTATTGTTCCTGTCACAAATAGTGCTTGTCAGTTTGGGTGCCTGCAGCCGAGGAGGGAAGAATGTGCACGGTAACAGGTGACAGCTTCAACTTCATGATGTTTTGTTTCACTGAACTGAAAACCCAACTAAAGATCCATTACACCTACAAATGACAAACAGAAACCAACAAGTGCTTTTCTTAATGATACTCGTGTCCTTTCCTGCTCTGAACAGTGGATGGGTTTTGATATTAGGAAACAGGACAGGAAAGGCCAGGCATTTTTAAATGATCAGTGAAGTATGTATTTGGTCAAACCATTTAAGCTCTAATTGTGTCCATCAGTAGTCGGCTCTGCCTTCATTTCTGCAGCCCTGTGCTTTAACCCCTTGTCCTGGTGCAGCTCTGTCCCTTGCACACTTGACATGCAATTCCTGACTCCTCCTTGAAGTGAAGCTGTAATTGCCTATTCACAGGGCAGTAGCTTCATAAAGCTGAAGGCCCCCATTTGTGATGAAAACTTAGACACAATCCTCTGGTTTATCATATTGCTTGCAATACCCCCATCACTCTAATTATGCAGGATTTGCTCTCCAGTGGGACATAGCTGCAGGGTATTTGCAGAGTGCCTGCTAAATCACACTTGTAATTCAAGACGAAAGGAAAAAGCAGCAAAGTCACAGGGAACATGAAACCCTGCAGCAAGGATAATCATGAAAGAAGCCCATGACATCTAGCACCAGCATCTCAAGAAGCACCCCCTTGCTCTCAGTCAGCCTCCTACACAGCCCCATTTATCCTCCCAGTCATTCCCTCTATTTTACTCCTTGGTTCAGCACACATCTACAAAAGAGAGAAACTGTCTCTGTTTCATCACCCATGAGCAGCTTCAACACAGGTTTTAGGCACGACCAATAGTTTCATGAACGGGCCAAGTATCTCAGAAACATTTTACTTTGCTGTTAAATACACTCAGTATTTCAACTATTAAAAGATCTTGAGAACTAGCACCTTGATTTGGAGGTGCAAACTCTGTAATAAGTCACTGCTGAGCTTTGCTGCACTTTAAAGGCTGCATAAAAGAACATGGCAGTCCAGCATGATGACCTTAGGGACATGTCATGCTGTGCAAATAGTCCAAAACACACCTGATGTGCCTGTGCTGCTGCCGTTTGGCATCCTCTCCCAGCCTGTTCAGGGATGGCGACCGGCTCCGGGAGGATGGAGTGTAACTCCCCACAGTTTTTACAGTTCCATTAGGATTATTCTGCATCTGTTGAAGTAGATGAGGTGAAAGGCTGCGGTGTGAAGAAGCAGAGGAGGAGGCTGACCACTCAGGGAGGTTGTTGATGTTCAGATTGTTGTCACTGTTGGAACGAAGCAAGATCCGAGGTGCTGCTAAGGTGCTCGGAGGTCTCCGCCTTCTGTTTGAGTAGGTGGGAGCCTCTCTAAAGGGCACTGTGTAAAGAAACACATCCAGGGTAATCGCAGATGATTTCACCATTCATATATGTTTACTTCCCCATAAAAAGATTTAGCAACAGATGGCATTGTTTCTTCTGCAAAGACAGAAACTCCACCTTGCCTGCATAGCTAACTGAATTCATTATAACATCATTAAACCCAGAACCAACTGAGCAATGTTAACCTGTTCACTGGCTTTAATAAATACTCAGTTGACACCAGCAGCATGAGTCTGCTCAATAGTCTGAACCATGGCCTAGGAAAGAGGAAACACCTCATTATGGCCAAGTTTGAGTCTCACAAAGTTCATATTTGGGCTATGTCGTCATACTCAACCAGGAAACCACAGAATAGGACGGAAATTTTGATGCATGAACTTCTAGCTTCCTTCTCCCATTGGCACCCACCAAACTGGGAGGATTTTGTTCCAACCCGAGTTTAGGGACATTTTAGTTTTCAGCCCAGCCTGAAATCTGTAGTGTTAACAGTCACCTTACCCTCATCTTCCAGGTTAAAAATTGAGGACAGAGATTTTTCTCCTGGCGGAACTCTATTACACTGCTGTAATCCCCAGGTATCCCGTTCTTTCTAATCTAGGCGTTTCTACTGCCTCTATTACTATTGTATATAGAACATATTATCCCAGGGTAATACACTCACTCCGTCACATGCCGTGTCCCAAAGAGAACATGACTGTATCCACAAGCTGCTATATACTACTTAACGAAACAGTCATAACAGAAAATAAAAGCAAGGGCAATAAGAATCTGCTACAAACCAGAGGGCCCATCCTTTCCTCAGCACTAGTGGTACAGTGCTGTAGTCACACAAGAATATTCCAAGCAGACGCTATGCTCTTAAGATCTCCTTTTCCCACTGTAGTGGGTCAGTCAGTTTCAAGTGCAACTTCAAAGGCAAATTTCCTTATAAAAGGCACCCAGTTATCCCTGGATGCAATGGCATTTCCTACCCATATTATAACGGAATAAAGGAGCTGACCCTGACAACTCATTCTCGCCTCAGCCCCCATTCATGCAACTGCTTTCATTAATTTACTTCAGGATTTGATCCAAAGTGCACATATTTACATCTGAACAGCCACAGTTGGATAACTAACAAAAGGCAGCCTGGCATTATTCTGAGGACTTCACTGAGCTGTTGTAATTGTCAAGGGGGGGGAAAAATCCTATTTCAATTGGGAAAGAAGCCTCATAAAATATCATCCTGCATGTCTAAAGTGCCAGTAAGTGCCATTTATTATGCACCAGAAATGTCTACGCATTCAATACCCTTCAAAACCACACAAAAACCACAATAAGAATGTCTGTCATAGTGAGCAAGTAAATAAACTCACAGAAATATGAATATACATAGGAGTCAATCTGTCCTGCCTTGAAATTCAGCCTTTAATTGAGAGAACACACCAACATTTAAGGTTTCAGAGCAGAACTGAAAGCATATTCATAACATAAAATAAAGATGGGGGAGCAAGGAGAATAACACGTCATTTTCAGCAGAATCAGTTTATGATTAACTGTGATTCTGAATACTTTAAAATAACAACTTTCATATTTCTAATGAACTGTAACTTTCTCTAGTAAATAGCTCAACACCACCAGACTGACTGAGCAAGAGAACAGTGTACATGGAGAGAAAGGGCTTTCAACTCATTTCCATTCATTTGAAACAATGCTGAAACAAGGGAAGTAGTCTTTAAAAGCTGTAAAAGAGGTTAAAGTCCAATATGTATGCTAGAGTCTGGCAGAAACTGTGTAATTGTCAGGATATTCCAAGTTCTTTGGTTTTTATTTAGGTTTCAAAGCAGCGGAGTGTGTCACGGAAAGGACCCTGGTGCTTCACAGGTCACAGTGACAGCCCCGGTTAGCACTAACTTAAAGAGAACTCACAGCACTTACTTCCAAAATTAACATACACAGACCCTCTGGATTGATGTACATGTCACAGACGTGCCATCTGTGCATTCCTGGAGCTCTGACATTCGGAATATGACTCCCAAAATTACTTCACTGAAGATAAGGATCTTTCCCAGATACAATAAAGCAGGAGAGCTACTGTAATTTCAGTCAAGGAGAAAGCACACAAAACTGAATAGAGGGAATATCCTGCACATCATTTTGCTAACTGAGGGTCTAATGATGTCTCCTTCGGGTCACCAAAGTTTGTCTTGGACTTCAGTAAAAACTGGATCTGACCCTTGGATTTTAATCTATCATGAATGTGAAGAGGAAACACTCCATGCACATTGGCCACTTGTCCAGTCACACATTGCTAAAACTAAACATTGCCAACGTTTTGGGGGTGTTTACTGCAACTTTGGTGAGGTTGGTGGGATATCTCCCGTCAGAAGAGGGAGGGAGCACGCAGGGCACCGTGCGGGGGCACAGCGACAGGACGGATAGGGAACTGCTGAGCACCTTTACACCGACACATTTCAGAACACACAAAACTGGCACATTCATTCCTACTGGAAAAACAGGGTCTCTTTTGTCTGTATCCACACTCTCCAGGTACCACATTAAATTAACTCTTTTTCCCTTACATTCATGAGAAGGATTTTATATCACCATGTAGGAGTTATCTTTTCCTTAGCTATTGATGTTCTGTTCTTAATGAGAGAACCACAAGCAAAATTAGCCTTTACTACAGAAAATAACCAGGAAAGGGGCTGACTAATTACACCAATTGATGTGTGTCTAACACAAATCTTTTATAGAAAGAGTTAAAAATAAGCATTTCCGAGTTTAAAGTGATTAATATTCCACCCAACTGTTTCTTTTCCCCAGCAATCTGCAAACTGTAAGTGGGTGGATATTTTTTTAGCTGCTTCTTATAGCCATTATTGATATTATTTTCACAATTAAATAACCACAACATAGAAAGATGGAATGCAAATGTCCACACTTTAACCCCTGTTGGACTTTGTTTTCCCTTAATATTTCACCCTGGTCAGAACTGGAAGTATAAACTGGCACAAAACTTGTTTGGGAAAAACACTTGATATAAAATGACACGAAACCACCTGAACTCATTTCATGCTCCTAAAGTTTAAAATTATCATCCCTAAAAGCACCATTTAATTCTTCCTCCAGCTCTCAGAATTCTATTCCTGGCACTTCATACATCTGAAGGGGCAATTCAACCCCATTCACTGACAGCATTCACCTAGGAAATTCCTTATGTGTCTTCAAATGCATTTCTCAGGGAACAAAATCATCTTTTATAACTATTTGATTTTTCAGAGAAAAAACTAAAATGAATAAACTCACATCCAGCCTTAATAATCAGTTGCCTAAATGCCTAAATAAAATAACTCTGATAAAGCAACTGCAGGAATTGATTAATTACAGAGTCACTAAGCCCATCATATTCAATGTACACAAGAAAACACCGCTCTGAAACATCAAAGTGTTCTGCTTTCATTGCTTACCTTCTTTCTTTGTGAAGGCATTTAACAAAGACTTCATTTTTCCCTTTTTACTTTAGCAGCAATCCCCTCATTATATAACCTTGGCTGGGAAGAAAAGAGGCAAAAAACCCAACAACAACAAAAATATAAAAATAATAAAAATCTATGAATCAAGCTACCCAGTTTCTATGTGTTCGGGCTGCCTGCACCCTGACATAAGCAGCAGGTTTCCGGGCACTGTGTAATTGCGAGCATAGCTGGGCATGCGGTACCCAGCGTTCTGGTGACAAAGCCCACCCCACATTCTGTCTGTCAGCTGGGAGCCAACTGTGCATAGACTGGAGCTGCTCAAAAAAATAAAAAGAACCTTACAAAAAACCCTGCTCTCTTTCACAGCATTAGTCATGTGAACACCACCGACCGCCACAGCCTCGCAGAGGATGCGAGCGCTTCCGTGAGCGCTGCCTTTGTGGAGGAGCAAGCGCCGGGCTGAGGATGCTCCGAGGGGGGCCCCAAATTCCTCTTTGCAGAGGGCAGGGGGGAGCCAGGCGTGAAGAGGAGTTTGCAGCAGCACCTCACAGGGTGCAATAGGGGAAGGAAACCTGGGCAGAGGCAAGGGCTGCTGTACAAGTCATCTAGCTCTGAAACTTGCACAGCTGACTCTCGGTGCGCAGAGGCTTCTTGCCATTTATTTGCTTTTTGCCATCTGTTTATTGGGGGCTTTGCTATTTATTTGCTTTTTTCCCCCTATTTCCCTTTTGCTGTTTATTTATTTCACTTTTGGTATTTATTTGCCTTTTGATACTTATTTCCTTTTTGCTATCTATCTCCTTTTTGCTATCTATTTCCCTTTTGCTATCCATTTCCCTTTTGCTATCTCTTTCCTTTTTGCTATCTATTTGCTTTTCTGCTATTTATCTGGGGTTTGCTATTTTTCAGCTTGCTCACTGCAATGCTCCAAAGAACCAATGTGAGGAAAAGTACAAATCACACCCAGCTTCACACAATGAATACGTTAAGAACAGAGACAAAACTGCCGCTAAACAGCGGATCTGTACATGGCCTATATTCCAGTCTGAAACAGAGAAGATACAAACACAACTGTTTTCCACTCCTACCGAACTGCAATAAAACACAATTTCTTACTGCAGTTTTTTGAAGTACACAGATTTGACCAAGCCATTTCACTAAACTCAGTGCAGATGCCAGAAAATCAATGATGGAGCCACTGCAGGTTTCAAAGTACTAATTCTGAAGAGAAATGTCTATACATAGCTATGCCAGCCAGTGCAAAACGCTCCCAGAGGAAGAGCAAGTAACTGAAACAGGCTGATAGGAAGCAGGGGGAGGTGCTAACAATCACCAAAATTTCCAGCATAACTAGTTATAAATGTTAAGATATAAAGATGCCAAAGAACGAGAAATTCACTGTTTCAAAAGGAGAGAGTAGCCTCCATTAAAAACTTGCCTTCAGATGCTATAAACTGTATAACAGTTAATAAATACTTATTCTGTTTCAGACATCTCCACTGATCACTGATGCACCTGTTTTGAAAATTGGGTCTTT